GTCCCTTGAGAAGATTATCTTGGTTTCTTAGAGTAAATTGGCCCAATGCCCACTTTATTTTATATTTACAGACTCTTTTACGGTTGGCATGCAACAAACAATGTTCTAGTTAATTTAGAAACTTAAATTTGTGTCATGTTCCCTGGATCCAAAACAGTACAAACAAGATTTAACCATATATAAATGCAATGAAATAGGCTGGTGCTTGTGTATATGCAAACTGAGATATTTATAGTCATCAGTGGAGAAACAAAAAGCAATGAGTGGAGGGTTATTTCAGCACTAAACACAAGATGATATACAAATGAACACTGATTTCACCTTATTTGAAGAGAAAAGAACTCATTTACTAGTCAGGTAAATGTGTTATCTGCCTTGAGTGGTACTGAGGGACAGGCATGTGTTTGGGTGTAGGGTGGTTCCTAATTGTGTGACTTTATGAGCCTATGTGAGTTATTATTTCAGATGTGAGTTATTATTACAGATGAGAAAACAGAGGCTTAGATTAACTGCATCCTAGATCTCAGTATCGCCATGACTATTAAATATCAGACAATGTCCGACTATAGACACACAATAAAGGAAGCTTTCCTCAGCTTTTTACTTTCACTCCAGAGGAGCCCTGGGATGATGACCACTGATGACGGTGTCTGCACTTTGGACAGTGACTACTATCTGCCAGGCATCATGCTGCACGCTTCACATACAATATTGTATTTAATCAAACACGAGAGCAAATAGCAAAATTTTATACGTTAGGAAACTAAGGCTCAAAGAAAGGAAGTCACTTGCTAAAGACAATAGTAAACAGCAGAAGTTGGATTAGAACTTTTACTTGTTTCATTCCAAAATCACTGTTTCTCACCAAATAACACAACCCCCATTAGAGTCTACGCCCTGTAAACAACAGGCTGAGGCCCCAGTACCAGCCAGCTGGCCCCCAACGGAACGGCTTGTGGAAGGTGTGTAAACAAAGGGCGAAAGAGGCAGGGAGAACGTGGCAGAACCGTGCTCACAAGCTGCCCTGTGGTGTGAACACTGGAAACCTGATGCCACTGGACCAAGCACTAAGGACTGGTGGCTTCAGCCGCCCGGAGGGACTTTCTGCAACCATTTCAGCTCTTATTCCAACTATCTTTTCTAAGATCTTGCTGAGAATGGAAACAAAGACTGCACACCATTCGCTTCTGCACAGGGAAGCTGAAAACACTTCTGGCATCTCCTCAAAACAGCATTTCTATTGGGCATAATAATAACCGATGCTCGAATGTTTCCATCACAGTGACGTGAGTGAACCTGAGAACACAGATATACAGGGTAATAAGCTGACTGTGAGAGCAACCAGAACTATTCATAAAGTGAGGCTTGAAAAAAATAAAAGGACGGTTTAAGTGCATGTTTTTGGCTGAACTCTCAGGAAGGGACTGCTGGCAGGACTGCCTGTTAAGCTCGACTGACAAGGGGCGGTTGTTTAGACTTGTTCCGTCCCGGCTCTGAGCGCATGACTGCCGCGTGTGCTCTGCTGTGAGGGTTTGGGTGAGGCAAGAGAGGTGCCTGGGGAGTAAAAGGTACTGAGGCATTAACTTTCAGGCCAACCCTGCCCTTATGATTCCTCGCACTTCATCCCAGCTTGAAGCTAATATGGATTTTGTACTGACAACCCGAGATGCCCGTGGATGGGTTCAAACTGGCACTGGCAAGACTTAGAGGGCACAGGAGCTCCTTAATTCTACAGACTTCTGGGCACTGACATCAGGGCTTGTCCTTGAGGAAACTACCAGGGTGCCCTTTGCCCTTTTCACCTGGATCACCTCTTCTTTTTTCTGCCTGAAATAACCTGCCTTAGTTTATTAATTTGAGGAATCCTACCTACCCCTCCTCTTAGCATTCCCTTACAGAATCCATTGGTGTTTATCCTTTAAAGGAGGATGGCAGTTAACACAACTGAATCTCTCCTGTGTGGGACACACAGGCAGCATGTGAGCAGGAGGCTGGTGTTCCCGTATAGGGGAGACATCTGGTGATGCCTGGATATTCAGGGCTAAGAAGTAACCAGCTGACTGGGTAGACTTTGCTTTAGGAGCTAGGAGAAACACCTTCGATTGCCAAAAGAGACTCTAACTACTGTTGTAGGGTTTTAACAGCAATTATTATGCTATGAGGATGCAACTGCAGCATTGTTTATAGTGGCAAAAAATAGGAAATGACCAAATTGTCCACAAAAGGGATGACTGCATAATTCCAGGTTCTTGAAAACTAGGGAGTTAAAGGAAATTAGATGGCAAGGAACCTTATACACTCTGACTTGGAAAGATGTTTAAGATATATTTTGGAATGAAAAAGGCAAACAGAACAATACATCTAGTAGAAAACTTAAAATTTCAAATGCAAAAGAACGTAAATGGAAACATGGATGTCTTCACTTCTGTATGGCAGATGGTATGAGAAATGCAAAGAGCATGACTGGATAAAGTAGTTGTGGTATATATATACATACATACACACACAATATATATATATATATATATATGTATATATACAATGGAATACTACTCAACCATAAAAAAGAATGAAATAATGCCATTTGTAGCAACATGAATGGACCTGGACCTCATCATACTAAGTAAAGTAAGCCAGAAAGAGAAAGAAAAATACCATATGATATCACTATTATGTGGAATCTTAAAAAAAAAAGGACACAAATGAACTTATTTACAAAACATAGACAGACTCACAGACATAGAAGAACAAACTTGTGGTTACCAGGGGCGAAAGGGGGTGGGAAGGGATAAATTGGGAGTTTGAGATTTGCAGATACTAACTACTATATATAGAATAGATAAACAACAAAAGTTATATATGTGTGTATATATTTCTAGTGTGCAGCATAGTGATTCAGTTATATATATATATTTATAAAATTTTTATATATATAAAACTGAATCACTATGCTGCACACTAGAAATTAACACAACAATGTAAACTGACTATAGTTCAATTAAAAAAGAAAGAAAAGAAAAGAAAAACAAAGAGAGAGAGAGAGAGGAGAGGGAGGGAGGGAGAAAGAAAGGCAAAGAGCAATCAAGTAGTGCTGGCATATTGGTGAGGTGCCTATGCCACCCCTCCTCCCCTACTTTCACCCCTTCCCCTGCCCTCCTTCCTTCCTTATTTCCTTACCTCTATTTTAAACTTTTCAATGTCAGAATCCTCAAATATGCATAAATGAAAGAAATTAGTATAATAAATACCCACACCCTCATCAACTTATCTTCAAAATTTATTAATACCTACCCCCTTTTTTTTAGCATTTTCAAACAAATGTCATACATCATATATCTCTAAAAGGTAAGGTTTCTTTTCTTCCCACCTAGCCAAAATATCAGTACCACACCTAAATATGTAATATATTTAGTTAATAAATATAATATAAATATTTAGATTTAGATATAACCTAGTATCACTTGGGATGTTTAATTCTGTATGTCAATTTGAACGAGCCCAGATATTTGGTCAAACATTATTCTGGGTGCTTCTCTGAAGGGTGAAGGATGAGGGTTTTGGATTTAAATCAGTAGACTAAATAAAGCAAATTGCCCTCCTTAAGGTGGGTGGGCCTCATCCAATCTGTTGAAGGCCTAAGTAGAACAAAAAGGCTAATCCTCTTCTGAAAAAGAGAAAATCTGTCCAGCCTGATTGCCTTCAAACTGGACATTGACTTTTTCCCTGTCTTCACACTCAGATGGGAACATCAGCTCTTCCTGAGTTTTGAACCTATTGGCCTTCAGACAGGAACTATACCATCAGCCCTCCTGGTTCACCATCAGCCTTCAGACTGGGAACAAATCATCCATTTTCCAGGGTCTCCAGTTTCCCAGCTCACCCTACAGATGTCAGGATCTGGACTTGCTCATCTCCATAGTCAGGTGATCCAATTCCTTATAAGGAATCTCTTTATATACACATATACATCTCCAATTAGAGTTAGAAACGCGTATCTCTGGAAAGCCCTGATTAATACATCACTAATCAACAGATCATATTCCATTTCCCCAAATAGCTCAAAAATGTCTTTTTATAGATTGTTTGAATGAAAATCCAAATAAGTCCCAAATAGATTTTCTAAATCTATAAGTATCAGTTATAATTGTGAGAAAATCATGGACTGTTTTCCCTTTTATGGTATTTAAAAAATAATACTGGATACGCCCTGCAACAAAAAACATTAAGCACAAAATTTTAGAACCTGATTCCAGATTTATAAAGATCAGAATGCATGCCTTAAGTGTGTTAAGACTGTACACAGAGAAAATGAAACGCATTCCTAGTAGCACTAGTTTGTTCTTGAAAAGTCAATAAACTTCTTTTCTGACTCTAGGTTCTGTATCTATAGAACAGGAAATACACATAGGAAATATTCATTTGGCTTTCCACAAAGGGATGTCATGAGGGTAAAAGGTAGTTCTGAAATAAAGTATACAAAAATGAAGAAATTTATGTATTATCATCACTGCCACCTTCATCCAAGGAACCTGTTTCATTTCTTTATGCGCAACTGGGGTCTTACTCTCAGATGAAATTTGCACTATTAAAGAAAATTTGGCCAAGGGGGCGGAGGGTGGGAAGGGATAGATGGGATTTCAAAACTGTAGAATAGATAAACAAGATTATACTGTATAGCACAGGGAAATATACACAAGATCTTATGGTAGCTCACAGAGAAAAAAATGTGACAATGAACATATATATGTTCATGTATAACTGAAAAATTGTGCTCTACACTGGAATTTGACACAACATTGTAAAATGATTATAAATCAATAAAAAATGTTAAAGAAAAAAAGAAAAAAAATTTGCACTGCATTATTAAAATGAAAAAAAGCAAATAAATGGTGCTGTAATGAAACAGGCCTGGTCTTTGATCAGAAGTTATTCTGTAAGTTTAACACATGCTGAAAAGCAGCAGAAGCTGACCTCCTAAGGCCACGGCTTAGGACACTCACCCAGTACTGTTGAGGTAACTCTGTCCCAAGCTGCAGTCCTTCGACAGAGAAGATGGATTGAACCAAAATGCAGGCAGGCACTGACCATTGCTGTGTCGCTCGTAACCATAGTCACTGTCGGGGAAAGAGCCAAGAGGAACCTTTCAGTAGGTGGCAACATTACTGACGATAATTTCATGTGAGTTCACAGGCAACTTCTACCCTAGTCAATTAGTCAAAAACCAGACATTCCCTGAATCAATGCCTTTTCAAAAATGGAACCTTTTTACTCATTGAATATTCTATCAACTACCCATGGAAATATTCTACAGAACCCATTTTGAGAAATGCTAACTTGGAGACAACAGAAGTACGTGTGTAGAGATGAAGGCTCAATAGCCAATAATTCCAATCAAACACCTTTAAACTGAGAGAGCAGATGTTGTTCTCATTATGAGGAGACACAACACTGATGGTGTCTGGACCCAGAGAAAGCTCTCGTGGTGGAAGTCCAACACTCAGTGGAAAGCTTCACTGAAGAGTTTAACTCAGCCACACGTGGCACAATCCTCATTGCTGGGGATGTCTTTGGGGTGCTCTTCCAAGACATCTGGATCTACCAAGGAGAGCTGAGTCCGGTCTCTCTGTGCACGAGCCAGCTGCTTCAAAGTCAGAGCAGAGAAAGAAATGTCCTTCAAGAGTGATGCAAGCATTCCCCCAAGGAAAAGCTCTGTCCTGCTCAGTTAACACTGCCAGCTGGGACTCACTGCTTTAAATCTTCTCTCTGGTTTGAAATTAGTTAAAAACATTTCTCTCAGCCTCCTCTCATTCTTGCCTCCAGGAGCCTCTGAGTGGCCTGATATTTTGGCTTCTGAAGATGAACCTGGGCGCGGAGGTTGGCAACAAACTGCACCTCCACATGCACAGACAAATCGCAGACAGCAATGAGCAAGCATCAGTACGAACTGGCCCATCTGGGTCCTGGAGGTGAGATGCTGGCATGTGAAGGCTGGGAAGGGAGAACCAGGCTTACTGAGGGGCCTGTTACCAGGCAGCTGGCGCTGAGAATTCTGCACAAACCAGATAGATTTGGTGCTGGTTCAAACCAGCAGGTGTAGGAAGACTTCAGAAACACTGTCTACAGGACACCCAGGGTTCATTTCAGGAAATTATTTCCCAAATGCTGGAGAATGACTGGCACGGTCATCTGGTAGTGGGGTCAGGACAGGGAGGGTGTCCAGGGGAGAGTGAAGCCAAGAAAGAACATTCAGTGACAACCACCTTTCATTATGCTACGGTCCAGGGGAACCACTGAAGCTCCAGCTACTGGTGGAAACTAATAAGGTCATGGTGTGCTTTCCAAAATCTTTTCAGAAATCATGCAGTTACAAAAGTCCCATTTGACCAGATAGGCTGACAATGGCCTCTTTCATGCTCATTTCCTGCTTCTCTGCTTACATTTTAGTAGTCGGATGAGTAGCAGATTCCAACCACAAATGAATGCAAGAATCGGGCTGAGACTGAGGGGCAGTGAGAGTGGGAGGAGGGGGAAACTGAAATGCTTTCCTTACCCTGTGTTCTCTTCATTCTAGACTAGCTTAAAATTAAAAAGATAAATAAATGACAATACCAACAAGAAAAGACTAGCTTACCCTGGAACCTTGTAGAAAAAAATTCCCAAAGGAACAAATGTTTCCAGGAGAAATCGGGGAATCGGGACTTATTTTTTCTCTTTGGTTTTCTTTGAGGAAATAAATTTGCTCTCTGCCAGAGAATGACTGGTACGGCCAAAGTTAAACCACTAAGATAGTTAATCCTTTTAAAGCCAAATCTTCCTTGAATAGAGTGAATGAAGGAGGAACAGTCAGGCTTCAGAAAGAGAGATGTGATGAATGACTTAAAAATTCCATGAAAGTTTTCCCTGTGAATGTATTTCAGGATGTCAGTCCTGAAAGGTTAAGACGTGGATAAAATACTTTTGTCATTGTAACAATGCTGCGCTGACTGAAACAGAGGTCAAGGCTGGGGAGGCCTCTGCAGAATTCCTTGTGAGCCCCTGTGGAACGGAAGCTCTGGATGGCCTCTGGCTCAGCCCAGAAAGATACAGGACTGGCTCTTGGCTTGCTTTCTATATCAACAAGAGAAGAACAGCCCTGGGTTATCCATCTGAGTGCAGTCTGCCAACTTGCTAGGCCTGCCCAGTACTATTGATTTCGAGAATGTTCCTAGATGCCAACCATGAGAGATGGCTTTCTTTTTCTAAGATATGTGACGTGTATGTACACAGTATCTCAACCCAATCACTGATATTTTGATTAGGTATGTGACCTATGATCGCCCCATACCTAATATTGTTAAATGAATGGTTTTGGGTCTTATGCTGGCCAAGTTTCAATTGTTTAACACTAATATACATATTTAGCAACTGCTTTCTCTAAACCAGAATAAATACATTTATAAAAAGCAGAAGGACAAAAAGGAAAAGGAACAAAAAGAGATGGACATGATCAAGGGGGTGACTACCTACCCAACCTCAATCATATTTCAACCTCATCCAAATGCCAAAACTAGAACCACAACATCACTCACCCTACAGCTAGCTTTCTACTTCACGAATGCTCCAGAAAGAATGCTGTGGCAGGTGCATGTATTTATGCCTTCCATATGCCTCAGTACTTTTCCAGTTTAAACCGGGTTAATCCTGCTAGAGGGAGAAGGCTCTCTTACCGCTAGGTCCACAAAACCATAGATTGCAATGCCACTGAATCCACCCCTGCCCTGGATTCAGAAAAGACTTCCACAGCTCTCACAGGCAATCGTCAGCTACTCACTGATTGAAAACCTGCAGGTATAGAAAATTCACTGCCTGACAACGCCATTGTTCCACTACCAGGAACCTCGAGTCTACAAAGTCTTTTCAATCTTGAGCACAAATATGTTTGCTCTCCGAAAAGTCCACTGATTGTTCTCAGTGTTGCTGTCCGAATCAGCTCAGGGCAGAACTGCTCTCTCCTTTTGTCCTGAGCTCTGTCAGATATGTGAAGTTAACTACCAGTCAACTTCTGAATCCTCCTTAAGTCCAAAGAAACTCCCTTTTCCACATTCACAGGTACATAGCTAGTAAGCCGTGATGTCCCCAGGTGGCAATTTCACAAGAACATGAGGCTTGTCACTTGGCTCTGTGCATGTTACTATTATTTCAAATCTAAATTTTCACGGAAGCCCATGTGGGTTTGATATACTGGATGATTCCATGGGATAACAGCCCAAGCTCACCAGTCAAAATCAGCCTCTGTGCAGACACAGGGTTCGGACTCCATAGCTCCTGCATATTTTCCTTGCATACATTTCCGCTCTGATTTCCTCTTCTTATATATTCTTTTCGCCCCCATGATGCATGCTTCCCCCTGTAAGGAGACAAGAATCTCATGCAGTTGGGCACATAGCTTGGACTTTCCCTAGTCCACATCACGACAGTCCAGGGAGATGTCCTCAAACCTTAGTTATCTGGACTCACATCGTCTGCTTTGTGCTAACAGCATTTTCAGTGTCAAGAGCCCTATTATAGAACGTGATGATGCAGGTAATCCTAAGAAGCGTTGAGAGTCCTGAACTCTATGTATTCAGTAAACCTTGACTTGGCAAGATTTTAGGCCCAATGCTATGAAGGACACACAGATAACTAAGACTCGGCCTGTAACGAGTATATTGCCAAGAAATCTGTACTAAGTAAGTTCAATATTTCTGTCATTAAAGATTTAGGTCATTCATAAGCATATGAAAGAAGAGTATTGTTAAGAAATAAAAAGGTCAATTTCGCTCCGATTTATTATGCCTCTGCCCACACAACGTTATAGCACTGATTTTACGTCCATCTACCAGACAAGCAAGAGAACTAAATGCAGTGTTTCTCCACAAACTAAGTAAAAGCTTTGTACATCACGATGCAGGGGCACCCAAAATGCCAGCAACCTAAGTGAATGATCACTTTATTGTTGAGCCTCCAAGGACAGTGGGTCATCCTAGCTCTTGCAGCCCCCATGGTCAGACCCAGCTCTGTGTATGCGTCTGGAGGACAAAAACAGTTTCATCTAAGTTAACTGTCTTGTTTGAGCAAACTCACTCTAACAGTCTGCATTACACACCTACACATAAGCATATTCCTTAGTATAGGTTTGGGGTATGTGACGTGTCACAGCCGGAATATGGTGATGGTTTTCAGGAAGACCCTCCGATACGTTCTCTGAGAGGCCTGCACAATGACTTATGGCTTGGGCAATCAAAGGAGGAGAGATGCTTTCAGCCAAGGCTTTATATATGAGCTGAACAGCAGAGGGGCCAGGATGAAGGAAGTTTTCCTATTCATAATTCTGTGTTCTTATACACAAGTGCCTCGGAAGGAGGTCAGAAGCGCTACCTAATCCTGGGGCGTCAAGCAGCGGGGAGGAAGGCTCTTGCTGGCACCGCTCACCCGGCATGACGTTGCTATTTTATGGTCGTTTGCACTGCTAGATAAAATTAAAGACCCTTTCCTCACCCTGCCCCCCACCTCCCAGCAACCAGATGACACGCTCAGATAAATTACATTTGGATCTCCATGCTGAGTTGGTATTTCATTTTGAGTCGTAAGTCTAAGCCAAGCACATTTGAATTTTATCTCATTATATCCCAGGACAATAAAAACAGAAATGATTTTACAACAAGCTATACATGTTGAGTTTGTTCACTGCTGTGGAATGCAACACACGGAAGAAAGCACTCCGTGGACATATTAGCCTACAGAACTCCGACTCCCGGGCTTTAATGACTAGCTTTCCCCCCTCACTCTCCAGGCCTCCCACCCAGGACTCAGCCTCAGCTCTCTCCTCCTACCTGGCTGTGCAGCTGCCAGGGTCTGTAGTCCTCCTCGGCGCACCGTCTATCAAAAATGGACTTGTAGTCCACTTTAACCAGCTGCCATTCAGAGCGGTGGCTGAAGTGTCCAAACACTCTGCAGAGTTCATGATGATAACAGATAATCACAACAGCAACGCCGACAGTTATAACCACAGCTACCACACGCCAAGTGTCTACTCTAAGATTAACACAATGCTAAGCCCATCACAATGGTCATATCATTTGATCTGTAAAACACATGTCTGGGGAGGATGCTATCACTGCCTCTACTTCACATTTGGGTAAACTGAGGCGCAAAGGGTTTTGCTAGCCCACAAAAACCAGAGTCCATTCATGAAGAACTGGTAGAGTCAAATGCCAGGCTGTTTGACTTAAAAGCCCACTTCTGTATGTTGTAAAAGAATGGTTGACCAAAAAGGAAAAGACTGAGGAAACAATCTCAAATGCTGCATTCTAGGTGGCCCAAAGTTATCCTTCTAGGTTCTCCTTTCAATGTACATGGTTCCCATGGTTTCCAGGCTGTTTCACCTTCCCACCAGTCCCAGGGGAAAGTGGGCAGCAAGGCTGAGGAGTTATAACTATTTCCCAGCCTGTGCACGCTACTCTCCTTACTCAGAGGGACTCCGCTATTTAACGCAGTGTTTGAATCACCTATTGCAGATGCGAATAAAAGCCGCAAGGTAGTCTTTTCTGTCAGCTTTTCTTTTTCTATCTGTGTTTTGCAAATATAAAAATTGAATAAAGACAAATTATAGAATACATTGCTATTCTAGCTATGTTTACCACAGGCAAAAGTGTAGCTATGAGGCATATTACATTTCTGTTGATCTTTTCTATTGTTTAAAAAAAAAAGGAGTAGGGGAGAAAAAATTAGAAAATGTACCAACTATTCACCTTGATTTTGAAATTTTCATTGCCAACAGAAACAACTGTTGTAAAAACCTTCCCTCTGTTTCCCACGTCCAATTTTCCAGGAGAAGGGAAAAAAAATCAGCTTCATATTTCAAATTCAAAGCTCATGTTTTGAAACCCACAGGCAGGCAAGCCATTAATCAAGTCTTTCACAAATTAATGATCATCACTTTCCAGACGAGAAGGAGCATAAATGCAATTTCACAAGAACAGACTGTTCTCCTGTTTTCCCTAATAATGCCTCACAATTGGGTTAGGTAAAGAGCCAGGGAAAAATAGAATCTTTTGTGGGGTTTTGATCAAGCTCTGTGTTCCACCTTAAAGTGGAATCATTCTTATATGCCTGTGGTTTTCTGTCTATCGAATGTGTTTATTATTAAAGTTTTCAATTGATAGCTTTATTTTCTATGGAAATAATCACTTCTAATTTCTCTGAGCCCATTCCCTATAGGAAGAAACAGGCTGTACCGCTGTGCTGACAGCCCTCAGTGTGGGTCTCCTAACAGCTAGTAAAGACAGATGGCCGTACTTTTCTTTTCTCTTTGCTGGGGAAGAATCATGAAGACGTACTGCCTTTGCTGGCGACTTCACACCTGACAGTAGCAAGGTGAACAGGCTTAGCTAAAAACATGTTTCTGGATTTTTATTAAGACTAGAAGACATCGTAGTTTTTCACTTACGTCATGATTAGAGTCTCTTCCCCAGGCTCACCCAGAACCCCATCCACAAAAAGTGGAATAGATGTGAAACTGTATTTGCTCCAAGATCTCCCTTCATCAAAACTCAACCTAACAACAGAAAAAACAGCAGTCATCGGATCTCAGAAGAAAATCCTTTCAAAGACAAGATGCTATCAGCCAGGAGAGAATACATTTCAGAAGTACCTGGGGCATTGTCAAAGTGAGCCTTTTATAGGAATACACGTTCTTAATTACAACAGAAGGGAGAGAGACAGCCACGTGACTTGGGACCCAGATGTGTTATAACATCAATCAGGGGAGAGCTGCATGAAACGGGAATGATAATAAGTCTTTGATGGAATTTTATTTTTAATTTGGATATTTCATCAGATCTTAGATCTTAGTGTGACCCTCTCTCAAACCTCACTACAATCCAACAGCAAGCCTTACGGTGATTCTGAGCGCAATGGCCTTATGAGACCTACTGGGAGGGACTTGAGCCAGCCACTTCTATGTGATGAAACCATTAGTGGTATCCCTCTTACACTGTCATAAATCCTGACTGATTTACTGAGTGAACAGGTGCAGAAAGACAGGCTCTTGAAAGTAGGTGAGAACTCTGCTCTCTGATGGTCACACAGGATGTTTCCTTTGCTCTGCCTTTCTCTAGGATGCCTTCCCCCAAGCTAAGCCTCTAGTTCTCTTATCTCTGCAGCTTTCCCTTCAGTCACCAAAGTAATCAACAGTGGTGGGAAAAATCAAGTTTTTGACTTTGAACAAGCACTTATGTGGAAAGAGCCACTGTCAAAAACACAGATGAAGGAGTCTATCAGAAACCCTTCTGGAAGTTAGGCCATCTGTGGAAGTCCTACAGGTAGAGCTGCAGAGTATCGCCTCCCAGAAAGGAAGATGAGGAAGTGGGGTCAGGAGAAATGAGACCAGAGCAGAAGTGCCATAAACTGCTGATCTCTGTGTGGAATGCACACAGTGAGTGTAAATATTGAACTCCAGGACACGCTATTTGGGAAGGGCGGCTGCAAGAGGTTAAGCTATTCAGCGATTATCCTTAACACACCATTCTACCCATGACTGGGCTGAAAGAATACGGTCTGGGGGCACTGGTTGGGGGGACTGTCGCATTTGAATATCATCATGTAATTCCTCTCTAAGGGGCAGAATCAAGCTCTCTCTCCCTCCCTCCCTCTCCCTGCTTGCTTTTCACTTTAATAAAGCAAAGGAGTAAGTTGTACTCTAGTAGAGCTTGATGATTTACTACAAGCACAGCCACAGTCATAGCCTGTCTTCCAGACTGGTCTCAGCCGGGCGGAACCGTCAGGCGCATGACTCGGGGGAAGTAGGTGCCTTTACCAGAGATGTCGAATCGGGAGAGATGTGTGCTTCATAGCAACCAGGACTCCGCCTTGATCCAGATACAAAACACTGTGCTCTTCTTCAAAGATCTGGAAGAGGAGAAGACATACACAGGGACACACACCCACATCCACACACACCCAGGGTTCAGACAATTAGTCTTCATCTGAGAAGAAAGACCTCCCCACGACAGAACTGGGTTCGCCAATGCTTTGGTCAGACATAGTTATGAACAATGATTCCCAAGGTGGGCTGTATGTACGATTGGCGTTACACACAATGATTCTAGGTGCACCACAAAGGAAATTTAAATAATTTAAAGAGTTTTATACTCATATTTATATTCCTATCTTTTTGTGGTAAGTTCTACTGATTCCCATTTATGAGGATGCCAGAATATTGGGCAACAGTCATACTGGGTAACGTCTTTAGATGCAAGAAACCTCAGAGATAGTTTGCTCCAACATTCTCATTTTTATTGATGAGAAAACTAAGGTTTAGGGAGACGTGGTGACTTGCTTAGGACCATGCAGATGGTAACTGGTGGTGCTGGGACGTGCAGCATTTCAGTGTCCTTTCCACATGTAGTTATTCCGAAGTTTCCAAGTATTACAGAGGACAGCTGTTCTTGTCCGACTCGGGCTCTCTAACAAGTCATAAAGCAGTTCTGACCGAAATGGAATCATGTGAGTTACTGGGTCTTTCTCCAGATGTGGAGAGACAAATCTGAGGTCAAAGGCAGACAGGCTGAAAACAATTTCTCAGTCCTCTCCATATAAGACGTGTGCTGTTTTCTCACAGTCACACTGCTAGTAGAGCCTTGCCTGTGGTTACAGCATAGACATCATGTTTTCCCCTTTGTTTACTTCTTATACCCAAGAAGTATCCCAGGGCTATAGGAGAGACTTCTTGGCTTTGTTTGGGGTGTTAGAAGGAAAAAAACCCGAGACTCTGGTTTTCTAACTATTCTCCATAGAAAGCTTAACAGTCCACGTTTCTACGTACCTCGAAGGCAAAAGGCCTGAGTTTTCTTAAGCAAGTTTCTCTCCTGCCCCACTCTCCTCAAAACATGAGAATCACAGTACAGATCTATGGAAGGGCCTGAAGCTTGGAAGTGGTAACTAGACCATAACGTGGACATCTCTGTCTAAAACTTAAAGTGGACTGTTCTCACTGCTGCGTGATTACCTGTGCATTAGATTTCAATTTATGGTGCTAGTTATTGTATGATAATTAAATGTCAGTGGCTTATTAAAACATATTTATTGAAGTGTAACAACCGTGCATTAGGCACACATCTTGTTATGATTGCTAAACCTCATTAAGTGCCTGTTTTATAAGCTGAGAGCATCTAATTTTCATTCAGAAGAAAGAGGAAACATTTAAGCTAAATGCATTGGTTTAAAGCGATTCCTTTTCTACTTTCCCTTACATATGCACCCTGATGGTTATTACTCTGTCTTCTGCACATGAGCTTTAAACATCACAGCACATCACCTGGGTAACGGCTATTTCTATATCACTGCACTCTTTCCTATTCTGACTTCAAGGCAAGGGGAATTGATGGAGACAGCTTAGTGTTAGGGAGATAATCTACCTTCCAGGTTCCGTGTCCCTCACATAATAAACTCTTTAGACTTCTAGCTTTCTTTTATGGAAAAAAATTTAGTCATATCTAATTTGGTTTCACTGTTACTTATAAACTTTCCTACAGAAAGGCTCTGAAAAAAGGTTCTTTTTATCAAAGAAATCAAATATCGTAAATGTTTGCTAAACTCAATTTTTTAAAGCCTTTCATAAAATAAAAAGGAAAATCAATACTTTAACAAGATTCAGGATTTACGTGTGGCTGAGTAAGTTCCCGGCACTGAGTCAAGTGGGACCATTTGTACATCATTTAACCTTAGTGACCTGACCCAGGACACTCTCTTACCTGCCTCCAAGTGTTCCCGGCATCTGAAGAGACAAACATGCTGATGTCGCTGTCTGACAACTCCGAACCGATGTTACCTAGAGACAGCACATCACCCTCAGTGAAGGGAATTTTCTACAAAAGCTAATGAGAGGCTACATTAGTGGTGCGCGTTGCCTGAGATGGATATACACTGTAAACATTATATCTGAGCAGGGTTTTCCAGCATACTTGCTTCGGGGTCAATGGTTTGGGTGCCTTTCAAAAATATTTTTAGCTTGCTCATTAAGTTCCAAGCACAGATAGCTAGCTCTTTAAAATAAACACAATTTATAGCAGCGAACAAGCCAAGCAAGCTTCTTACCTGAAGCCACGATGATGCTGGGAGCTGTGTCTCGGCTGGCAATGATCCCTGATGTGTAGGGATTCTCAGAGACCTTAAGGTGAAGGTGTAGTGAGCAATAGGGCTGAGAAGAGGAGAAATGAGGGTCATAAAAGCAGGTAATCTAAATGGTCATTTAAAGCTCAGATGCAGAGTATCCATCCATTTATGCAACCATCTATCCATCCATTCATGAACCCACCCATTCATCCATCTTTCATTGCACAAATATCCGATGTCCACTAAGCATAAGACAGCTGCCAAGTTGATGAAGGAAAGAGCCTCTTCATTGTAAGTCTAATCTACTGATAGAATTGCCATTTGCCATTCAACAGACACTTTTGTACTTTATCCATAAAACACTAGGTGTAGCTTATGAAAGAGTTACAGTGACTAAAGTTTGGTCCCTGCCACTGCGGAGTATATAATTTAAGATCTTCTATTGCTTACCATAAAGAGAGACTATTTTAATAGCCATCAGATCAGTACAGACAAAATATGAAATTCTAGAGGAAGACAAGACTATGTCCAACTTTGGATCAGGGGAGGTTTCAAGGAGAAAATGGTGCCTGAGGCAAAGATGGGGAGGATATGAACTGCAGAGGAGATGGTCAGGAGGATAAAGGACATTTCAGGCCTGAGTAGCATCAGTCACAAAGAAAAGAAGAGGAAGAGTTGAGCTGTGATATGGCAGGTAAGACCACAGAGGAAAAATGGGATATAAATGGGATAGGAAAGTTTGGTCAGGTTGGGAGGGCTTTGAAGAGGTCACTTGGCATCTTTTTCTTTTTTAATTAAAAATTTTTATTGAGGTAAGGTTGGCTTGTAACATTACATAAGTTTCATATGTACAACATTACACGTCTACTTATGTTTACCACCAAAAACTTAGTTTCCATCCATTACCATGAAGTTGATCCCCTTTTCCAATTTCCCCCTCCTCCCAGCCCTTCCCCTCTGGTAACTACTACTTTGTTCTCTGTATCTATGTGTTTGTTTTTGTTTGTTTTGTTTTGTTCATTTATTTATTTTCTTATATATTTCATATATGAGTGAAATCATGCAGTGTTTTTCTTTTTCCATCTGACTTATTTCACTTAGCATAATACCCTCAGGGTCCATCCATGTTGCAAATGGCAAGATTTCATCTTCTCTATGGCTGAGTAATATTCCACTGTATGTGTGTGCATATATACATATATACACACCATCTTCTTGATCCATCAATGTTTTTGTTTAATTGAAGTATAGGTGATTTACAATGTTACATTAGTTTCTGATATTTAGCATAGTGATTCAGTTTTTTATATTACATATATTCTTTTTCATATTATTTTTCATTATAGGTTATTACAACACTTGGCATCTCTCAGCCATTTGAGACCTTGGTCTCAGTTCTATAGAAGAAGCTGTGTGAAACGTGAAGCAGCCCTAACATTCACCAATCAACTGACACAGCATCTGTGTTAGGGTATCATCAGACTCAGTGTTATTCAACATAGAAGTCATCCTTATAAACAAAACGCACTAGTAATAACCATTTAAGTGAAAATTGAAGGGACTTGTCTGTGCATAAAAATCTTGATCAAGTTCTCTGATTAATATATCAACGGTTTTCAAAAACAGGATAATAAACCTTATACAAATTTCATTTAAAATAGTTCTTGTACTGAGTTGTCAAAAACTACTAGTTTGTGTCTGAACCCACAGCTCTTTTCGTTTGCTGGGCAGATTATTTTCTAATCTTATCGACTTGAGTTTTTGGAATCACCAATGTATCTCTGTTATTACTTTCATTCTGCTCTGTGAGTCTCAGCCAGCAGAGATTCAGCAAGTTACAGAGATGCAATGATTGCATTTATGTGGGAGAGCGTGAATGACAAACTAAAAATGAAACTCAGGAATAAAAGCAGCCAAGATACTGGTGAAACAGAATGGCGAATCACAATAGGGACTTTTCCTCACTGCGAACAGAGAGAGTAAACTTGGAAGGAATGATGACGGCAACACATTGTGGGTTTTACACGAAAGTTTCATGGAAACCTTTCAAAAAAGGAATTTCTACTCTATCATGTTCCATAAGACTAAGGAAGATCACCCCTATAAAAAAACCAATCAGACCCCAAAACTTGGCTTCCTTTTGTCCAACAGAAAACCAAGAGCGGGTATTGTATGTTGCAGAGGACCCAGAAAAGTGTTTTGCAACACTCAGGCAGGTGCTGAGACAGGATAAAGCAGAGGGATCAAACCAGTTTTCCAAGAGAATTTCCCTGACAACAGCAGCCTATCAGGATCTCGCATTCTCTGGCTTACAAATTTATTTTACCATGCACAATCCTGGATCATCTATCCGAGAAACGCACAGTTTTATCCCCCTAAGAGATATGCTCTGTAAATAAAGAGAAAACATCAAGCACTACGTTGCATCTTCAGCAAAACCTCGCATAGAATCTACGAAAGAAAGACAGTCAATAAACACTCGAAATATCAAGCATTGCTTTCAAGTTAGGACATGAAAGGCCTGACTTTACTGTTTTACTCAGAACAACGCCAGGAGTACGTGGACTTACGTATACATCACATCCATCAGAGCAATGTGACGATCCCCATGGCATTCTAGAAAGCGGTCTCCTTGGGGATTACACCTAGACAGATGGGCTTAACGGAGGGACTTTTGCACCACCCAATAGAGCAGGACATCCCTGGCCAAGGGGCATCCAGCCTGCAATATTAAGCCAGCCACTAGCCACATGCTTCATCACCCAGCAGTCTGGAGGGCTGAGACGCTAAGTTGCCACCTGAGTCAAGGGTAATTTGAGACAGTGCACTGGTCATTACAAAAGAAAGAGGGCATTTTTCAATTGGTCAGCTCAGCACTGCTCTGTTGCTATGGCTATCAGAGACCTGAGATAAATTAATTTGGGAAGAAAAGACACCAGTTCATGCAGTAGCAGCAACATTAGAAACAATCTTTTTCAGGCACTTCTTTCCTCCTCTCTCACATTTGTAGTACTGGATTGCCCCCAGCTGGTACAAGGGAAGTATTCGGTCTTTTTTTTTCTTTCTTTCCTCCATTTTTTCAAGGAAGTTATATAGTCTACATCAATGTTCGAAGACCTATGATGTTAAGTGATTCATTTTCACTTTTTTAACTTAAACTTTTGTACCTGAACAGTTTTGGATATTTGTCAAAAAAACACTAAAGATTAACAGAAAGATTTGCTTATAACGTCTGTCAAGCCCCTGCAAACTCCTGAAAAACACAAGACAAGTCTCTCAATTCACAGGCACATTTTTCCCAGGCAGGAGGCTCTTGGCCCACCTTTCCCTTTCTGTCTTCTTTTCTCCCATTAGCAAACATATACTGAATATCTGAACATTTCCAGAGTTAGCTCCAATTCAGAAGAGTCAAAGCATAGATAATCCCAAAGATATTTCTCTGTTTCCCGTATCTTTCCATATTAAGAAAATCTAGAACCGTACACCAGTACCACTGTGACCTAGTAGCTGACTTACAGAGAATGGAGGGACCAGCATCTCTGTTTGGAAGCTGCCTGTTGTCCCTACCCACATATGGTCTGTCACACGGTGGGGAGTATCATCAGTTGGTCAATACTAGGAGCAACTAGATCCTTAGTCTTTAATCTTTTCAGGGTCAGGGACAGAGTTTGAGAATCTCATGCATATTGAGGACTCTTTCCCAAGAAAAAGTACCCAAAGGAAGCACACACAGAGTTTGTATATAAATTCAAGGAGTTCACAAACTCTTGAAGCCCATTGTGGACCTCTAGGCTCCAATTACCTTTCTTTTGCCTTACTTTTTTATGTCTTACTTTAACCAGCAACATCATTTGGCCATTGCAAGTGTTCAGGAAATGCCCATTAAATTCAACTGATCCATGAACTAGCTATGGTCTTCCTAGCACAGGTCGATGGAAAAGTACTAAATGATACAGGATTTCCCCCTCCTCTGAAAGAAATCAACTTTAAAAACTGTTAGATTTAACATGAAAAAAAATGTATGTTCCTATATGACTGAAGCATTGTGCTGTACACCAAAAATTGACACAACATTGTAAACTGACTATACTTCAATAAAAAATACATTTTAAAGAAACCTGTTAGATTATCTGCGAGTCAACCAGCTTCTCATTCCAATTCCTCTTTCCCCCTAACCTCTGAACTTACAGAATTTACGTCTCATCTTCATGGTACCTTTACCCATAGGTAGTGAAAAGCCAGATCAGAGCTTTCATAAACAATAAGGCAGCAGGTAAATTGCCTGAATGTATCCCCAAACCCACCCTTGCACACACACATTTGTGCTGTTTCTGACCCTGAGTTGGACCATGGAATTCACTTGATTTTTAGTAAAGAGTCAATGGCAGAGGGAGGGAGGCCCCTGGGCCAACTGGCTGGATCTGGGGCATTGAGCCCCACTTAATACAGCAGAACCTGGAGAGTCACAACCAGCGCAAAGGAGCAGGAAGCAGAGTCGAGAGTCTCCCGAGGTAGCTGGCTGCTTAGCTCCAGTAGAACACTGCCAACTGAATCCATAAAGACGTCACGGCCTCTCTCCATGAAACACCATGCTTTCCCTAAGGGGCCCTAGGATTTGTTACAGGCTCAGCTCACAGCGTGCCTCTTGGGAGCCCAATCCTGAGGCTTTGAAGGCAGGTGGACCATGACCTGTAACACCCCCATCTAATTGTACAATGCTGTCTTCAGAGGAAGGAAATCCCAGCTGAACCCTAGAGGCAATCAGTCTAAGGGTCCTAAAAATACAGCCCCAAATTACCCTGGATGTCTTATTTCTATAGAATACATTTTGCCAGGAACATTCCATTTGGGGCTGTAATTTTGAACTTGTTCCACATTTGTAACAGCCCTGCTGGAGAAAAATCTCTCTTCTAATCACTAGGCTGTGCTTTCAGTGACACTGTCACTTTCCAAGTACTCACAATCTAAAATCACTTTTTATCTCCCCTCTGCTACCAGCTCCCAAGCCCAAAGAAGGTTTTTAACAGTCTGAGTCTCTGGTAGCTAAAAGATTTTCTTTCCCATTTTGTGCTTTGGGCAAATTTTTATAAAATGATTTTGGTCTCTTCTTCCTTTTGCCATTTCACCTCCTCATCCTGCTGCCTGTTTTCTAGAGCTTAGATTAAAACTACATTAAACAATAGGGTTAATGAGGGAGGAAGGCCAAAAGACTCTTGGGTACCATACATCTGGATCTCATTAACTCATCTTTGCTCAATCTGAATGAGCCTACTGATTTTGTCAACTTTGGGGTCAACTTGTGCCCATGAGCTTCAGAAAGTGGCGATGATGACAAATCCTTCAGTGTGACTGTCAATGGCAAGGAAAGGCTTCCACTGAAGTCCAGATAGGAAACTGAAACATCTGTCCTTGGCATGTCTGCTTCAAACAAACACAACACCCTCAACAACATACGTGCTGAGCACCTACCACATATCAAGTATGATTCTTGAGCTGATTCTGTGGGATGACCAAAAGGATAGCCACAGTCCCTATGCCCATGGAGCTCATAATTAGCAGGGGAAGATGGACCAGAAAGTCAACTAATGCATGTGCTGACTTCAGAAAGTGAGAAAGGTCATGAATAAAAAAAGGTTGGACCAAGTGCAACTTTTGAGAATGCTCAAGGAAGGTCTCTAAGATTAAGGTAATTAAGCAAAGAGCTGAATGCCAAAAAAAAAAAAAAGGTTAGAAGAGCATTTTAAGAGATATAAATGAGCAGGCTGGGACCTGGGACCCTTCACTGGAGTGCTTGCACCTGGACAAACGTCTCTTCAAGCAACAGGATACAAAGAAACTATAAGGGACTGAAAATTACACGCTTGCACAGTTGGGGCAATTATGAACAATGAGACACAAAAAAGCCAAACCAAACCACCTCTTCTGAGTTGCCAGGTGCAAAAGCAGGGTACTGAGCATGATCCCTGCACCCAGTACCACCAAAGGGATGGACAGACCACCTAAGACACCTTTTGATGCATCAATCTGCTCCTACTCTCACCCCATTTAAGGGACCAGCTCACCCCTCCTTGAGAAGCAAGCAAGGGTACCTGTTACTTGTTTTTCCTCCCTTGTGCTGCACCATGAACCACAACAAAGCCTTGCCTGAATTTCTTGTTGGGCCTCTTACCAATTTCTATTGATTAAAGAGTCTAAGAACCCAGATCCATAACATAATGACAAATGCAGAGCCTGAGACACAAACAAACTTGGTGAGCTAATAGTATGGAAATGGGTGCCCTCTTCCCCCACCACGGCCGATGTGCAAGGAAGGAAGGAGAGAGAATCTGGAGCCTAGGCAGGAGAAGGAGATAGAAGCTGGACCAGATGGAATCTTGTGGGCCAGGGTTAAGCATTCGAATTTTATTCCACCTGAATTAGAAAGTCATTAGGAGGTTTAAGGAAAGAAGGGACAAGATCTGAATTTTGAAAGCTCAAATTGATACCATTTACATACAATTTTAGAAAAGGGCAATCTAATCTATTACGAAAAAAAGCAGAGCAGTGGTTTTCTAGAGCCAAGGGTGTGGATGCTGACTGTAAAGGGACACAAAGCACCTTTTTAGGGTGATGAAAATGTTCTATTTTGACTGTGATAGTGGGTACAGGGGTCTGTACATTTGTCAAAATTTATCACTGTACTCTTAAAATGGGTACTTTTATGTTGTGTGCTTTACCTCAATAAAATTGGATTTTTTTTTAAAGATTGCACTGGCTGCTGTGTAGAGAAGAGATTGCCAGGTAGAGACAGGAAGAACAGCCTGTCACTGTAGGGGAAGTGAGGAATGATGGTGACTTGTATGAGGACGGTCCCAGTGGAGATGGGGATGTGAGCTGATACTGCACTTCCATCTTGGAGGCACAGCAGTAAAACTTCCTAACACTGGTCTGGGGGTGCAGCAGGGAACACCTCGCTAAGCGCTTTGTGTAAGAGACGTTTCTAATGGTCCATTTATGCTGCCAGATCACCCAGGAAAGGCTCTTTCAGTGACATGGTTAATGCTCTCTCATGGACATTCAATCACCAAAGCACATGTTGGGATGGAGGACCTCATCAAGGCACTCGTGCATCCCATGCATCTTCGACAAAGTATCACTTAAAATAGCTGATCGAGAAAGTCGAGCATGTTTCTAAAAGGAGGCTGAACCATGTCTTGCACAGAGTAAGTGCTCAGTAAATAACTGTTGCATTTACCTACTCTGTAGCTGGCTTTGTGCACTCACTGCCATCGGCTTCCCTTTCCCCTGTGAGTTCCCAGTAAATAAGGATGGAAACTGAGTGGGAGGGTGAATTTCAGACTCCTTCCCTGATGCATGCTGACAACTGTGATAGCCTCTGCAACTAATAAGGTCAAGCTATGGCTGCTGGCATCTTCTCGAGGAGGAGGGTGATGCACTGACAGCCGTATGAGATGAACCTGCAGAGTGACTGCTCAGACTTCCTGGGACAGGAGGAAGCACGCTGAGTGTGGGTAACATGAAAGCTGGGATTGTATGATGGGCTTGTACATATCAAGCCCTTCTTGCTAAAACTAAAAGATCTCTCCTCTAGCTTTACATACTAGTCTCACCCTTTCATGAACTGAAATACAACTTCAGAACTGTTTTTTAGAATTTAGCATTGAACTATATTTTGTTTTATAGTTAACCTCACCCTCCCCGCCTTCTTCATTTACCCAGAATCTATTCATGTGTCAAGTACAGGGCAGGCATCAGAACCACTAAAATGTGACCCCATAACTTTTCATTTATTAACATGTTAATATTTCATTTATTAAATTTTCATTAATTTATTAATGCCATCTCTCAAGGAGATAGCAAACTCCTTGAAGACATGACACGTCTTTGATCCCTCTCTTGGATATCATCAAACACATAAATAAATTCTATCTATTGCCCAAATGTTAGGCAACTTTTTAAAAGTCATACTTCAAAGCCGGGGTCAACAAACTTTATTTTTTAAGGGCCAGAGAGTAAATATCTTAGGCTTGATGGACTATACAGTCCCTGTCATGACTACTTAATTCTGCCATCAGAGACCAAAAGCAGCCTTAGACAATATAGAAATGAGTAAGCATGACTATGTTCCAATAAAACTTTATTTAAAAAAGCAAGCAGTGGGCCAACCTTGCCCCACAGGCCATAGCTTGCCAACACCAGCTTTATCCAATGATATAAAGGAATGGAACATATTATAAAGAGTACCAACTCAGGATTTAAATCTGTGGTTCTTACCTTTGTTTGAGGCATACATTTCTCTGACAATATGAATAAACATCTCCATTGGAAAATACACCTACACAATTCTGCATTTAGTTCATCGACTTTACAGCTGAATTTATGTATCATTTGGTTTATAACAGATTATTCATGGGAGAGTAAGAGCGTATTTCCCCACTATCGATGAAAACTATGACATTCTCCCTTAAACTACAATTTGAGGTCCTCATCAGAAGTTGGGCTGCAACCGAAGACCCTTGGAAGAGAGCAAGAAGCTTATGTTCTCTTATGGTTTTGGTCCATCACAAAAGGCAGTGCTGTGACTCTTTTCTACACACTGCCTTCACACCCTTGCCTGTCCCCTTGTTTATCAATTGAGCAAAAAACCCTGAGACCACATTCATCTGTTTGTTTAACCTCCATCTCCAGCCCTCACCGTGTGGAGCATCCTGCCCCGATACGAAGACTTACCAGCAAGCAGTGCACAGGGTCCCCTCTTAGGTCTGTGTCCGGCGCCTGCAGCAAACGCCAGTCTCTGCCTTTGTTGTACGTGATGAAAGTCTTCACTTGGTTGTCAATCTTCTTGTTAGCCAAGAACATTCCCTTTATCCCTGCTACCTGGGAAAAATTGACATGGCTGAAAAATACATCAATTGGAGAAGAAATATATTTGTTTACTTAAAAAAAAAAAACAGACTGTCAAATTAAGCCGTGAGCACTTATCTGGGAGCAAAGAGGGTGAGGGTAGTGCTTACGTATAATGAGCCGCTGGACAGTGGGACAGAAATGCCCCTTGTGGTATGGGGGTCCTCGTGCAAGTTTGAGAGAGGTTTCTTATTTCCCCTAAGGTAGATTGGTAGTAGCTTGCAGTTGCCTAGAGATAAATTCTGTGCTGTTGGATCTGTGCTTGGCAAATAATAAATAAATAGGGGCTACTTTTATTTTATTTTAGGTGTAGTACACATGGTCTTAATTTATCTCACTTAATCCTTGTAACAGTCTTTTTGGGTCAGTTTCACTTATTCTATTTCACAAATGAGGAAACTGAGGCTCACCCAGGTAGAGTGACTGCCCAAGGTCACACTGCCTAGAGTTATACAGATAGTAAGCGGTGGGCCTGGGATGTTAACCCACAGCTCTGTGCCTCTGCTCTTAATGACTTAAGTCACTGCGCTATCTACAGCCGTGAGCAATAGAAAGAGGTCAGGAAAAGCTCATGATCCAGTTAGTATTACATTTTTTTTTCTCCTCTGTAAAAGATTTCTCTATTAAGCTACCAAAATACATTGAGCAAAAGAGAACAGCTTTTAAACTTAAAGAAGCAGTGGATTCCCTAAATTGTCAAAGAATCCCTCCTCTGTTCCTATAATAATGTCATTCCCATAGAAACAGTCCTTATAAGTTATTTGACTCTGAAAATATAATTTCCTTCTCTCTTTTATACCTTAGGAAAGTGATTAACAACTGGTAAGTTAACAAAACTGTGCAGTAATAAATGATTCATTGTGCATTGTATTTTTCATGTGTTTTAGAATTTATTAAACACATTGTACATATTTGACTCTGCTTGACAAGACAACCTAGGAAAACGTGAGGGCAGTGAGAAAAGGGTCTGAAATGTGTTGCATAGTGGATTCCAACACCATGCATAGGCTATTTCATTTAATGCTCACAAAAACCAGGAGATACACTTGCCATTAGCTACACTCTGAGGATGAAGGAACAGAAACTGAGATTAAGTAGCTTTCTGAGAATAGACCGGGAGTAAGCTAGTAAGCATATGTGAACCCATTTAACTTAACTCAGGCCCTTTATATTATAATACGAAAAATTTTAAGCAGAAGAATGAAAAAACAGCATCAATCCTTGCCACATACAAACCACTATACCCAGTACTGTATAAATAAAACCTCCAATATTTACTATAAACCTGCGTTAACAGCTATTGTCTCGATTCTACGGATGAGGAAACAGAGGCATAAACAAAATTTAATTGCTTAAGATAACAGAGAATCGGGCTTCACATCCAAATCAGTTTCACTTTCAACTTTTTTTCAACAAATGCATCTCTGAATTTGTCAATTCAAAGAGGCTGGGTTTCAATCAAGAGAACCAGCATGTTTCGCCTTTGCTTTTGACACAGTCAAACCTCATTAGTTTGTACCTGCTAATTGGGCATCTGGGGTAACTTAGAGTGGGGCCAACTTTGCACTGTTTTGGAACAAGAAGTCTGTTAAGCAAATAAGTGGTATAAATGAGTTGCTGGGAGGAATACTTTGAAACTCAGGAAAATAAGCCTCATGTGGGGCCACTGACAGCAGCCAGACCACTTTCTTATGCATTGTTGAGCCTCAACAAACGAGGAAGACACACATTTCCAGGAGGACTCTACCTCAGTAACATGCAATGGTATGTTAATTACAAATAATATTTAGTCATTCACTACACCAGCTCCATCAGGACTACTCACAAGGGAACCCCATACTGGTTCTGCATATGTTCCAGAGGCTGTTACATATTTAAATGACTAAACTGCCAATTCTTTAAAGATTAAATTTCATCAACCAGAATTTTCCCGCAGTCATACCTGTGTTCCCTCCACAGCAGACCCCAACATGACAGACGGCACTGTCTTAACCATTCAACACTCTAGAAATTGACAATACGGAGAGAAGGGATAAAAATATTACCTATTCTGGTCATTCCCCTGCCCATTCCCCCCCCCACCGTCCTCTCCCTTCTCTGGTGTCAGAGCAGGGTTATGCGTGTTTAGAAGCTGGTTCATTTGATGTGCGGAAGTGGTGACTTTACTGGCCCCCAACTGCCTGGCATTATCAAATGCCACTTGAGTGGAGAGCCTGCACTTTATAACTCATCTCTGGCAGCCGGGCCTTCAGCTTTATCTTGAGGAGTAAAAAATTGGAAAAGTTGAGGAAACGTGTGACAGCAGGGGACAGAGCTGGAGAGGGTCTGCTTATTTTCCTCTTTCCGCCAAGGGCCCTAATCCGTGAAAATCCCTTGTTCTCTAATATCATATAAGCCAAAATACCATTTCGACTAGATTTTTAAATATGAAGTGTTAATAGTTCAAACCTTAGACAACACAGAGCACATCAGTATACTCACTTGCTCACCTGAAGGATGGCATCTCAACATCCTATGCATCCCTCAAGGCCCAAGCCTTTATCCAGAAACGAGAACCTCTTCTTTATCTTGACTGACCCCATTCTTCTTCTCTGTCCCCTAACTCATCTCTCATAGAGAGGATACTTACACCTTGACTCTCACCAACCACGTAAGAGCATCTGTCTTTCTGGAAACGTCTCTGGTGCTCCCTCCCTGTGCTCCTTACCACCCATGAATTCTTCCTCGTGTCAGCTCTCACTCTGTGGTCTCCCACTCTTGTATAACCTTTGGTTATCATTCAATCCACCATATTCCTTCATGAAAATTAGTAATTAGAAAGTCATTTTGTACCAGAAGCCCTATTTTTGTTTTGAATAACACAGGTAGTAAGAATTCTGCATGAGAAGACAGAACAGTAACACTGCCCCTCGTTTATCGAGAACTTGAGAAGCGTCAGGGTCTACAGGAAATGCTTTGCCAGCATGAGCACATCAGGCTCTCCCCGCGTCCTGCGTGGTAGACTCATGTGTCCCCACTCCGCACGTGTAAAAACCAAAGTCTGGATGTGGCCATTCACTTGCCTAAGGTCATTCCCTAGGGAACCTCAGGACCGGACTTCAAGTCAGTCTGTCTGCAGCCCCCACACTCCACCTTTTGGCCATACCGTTTCTTCAAACTTCTGTCTCATCCTAGTGTATCCTGATAGAAATATCATATATAGATATTATACTTACAGGAAACTGCCTTTTATTCATTCTTCAGTACATGTACTCAATAATTGTTCAATTAGTATTTTTTGAACACATAACTACTTCTCATGCATTCTTCTAAGCACTGGGAATATAGCACCTAGAATGTCTAAGTAACTATACATTCATCCAGCAGATTTTTTTTTTTGAGTTAGAATGTGCTAGGTACTGGGACTTAGATTTCTTTGATGATTTAAAGAAAGAGCTCCAAACATCTGTTTTTGTTTGTTTGTCTGCTTGTTTTTTTAACATTCACCTTTAGGTGCTGAGACCTAGACTGATTTAAAGAACCTCAGACACCTGGGGGGTTTTTGTTCATTGTTTTGTATTTAAAAAAAAAATTTACCCCTAGAGGGTGTTCTTCTGTTTCAATCTGTCATACAACTCATATGAAAGCCAAATTGGGAAGACCCTTGCACTGGGGTTTTTGCTTATTCCTGCCTCTGATGCTGATTGGGAATGGATTCCTCCCACCCTCTCTGTCTCAGATTTAAGTGACAAATCTACAGTATCAAAATTTGAAGAGAATTTAAAAAAAATATGAATCAACTATGTGGCAAGAAAGAGACCATAGTTGGACCATGACTTCCTCGAGCTTTGGAGCTAGGATGTTTTTCTGTTCTAAAGAGAGGATCCCAGCCAGGAGAATTAGATACTCAGCAGGGACCATGGGTATCTGTGCTATCAGGGAAGTCGAAGTGTTCTTTCCTTCCCTGTTGCCTTCGTCAGGCAGTACTCACCTGCCCAGGGAGAGAATAGCCTTAAATTATGAGATGGTACATTCTGTGTCCTATAATAAATCTGTCCTGGATGGGAGAGCAATTCTTCTTCCTTACCTCTTACACTGGATTGTAAGAGTCTTTCCGCAAGCATCAGAATGTAAGCTACAACATCAAAACTTCTAAGCTTTCTCTTTTAAAGAGACAAGAGGTACCATAACATCTGGAACACCCTGTGTGTAACGGAACACATGCTGGTCATTGGTTACGTCTTTCTTGATGCCCTCTGTGCCTCAATCATGTATGCATACATTCTGTGCTTTCTGAATTTATCAGCCAGGTGGCTACACCCAACACAACCCTTTCAGTGTGGCTGGGGTGGACTGTCATTGCCCATTAAGCCAAAGCGCTCTTCATCATCAGTAATTAATATCCCCTTCCCAGAGGAGAGACGATCTTGCCCAAAGCTGTCAGACTCCCTCTCATCATCCATGCCAGACGCATACACTAGGAATCACACGTCTCAGACACACTCATCACATCTCTTTTGCTCTGGCCACCATCGGGCATGCTGTCTTCTGTTTCCCATTGCACATGGTGCCACTGGAGAACGTGTGCTATTCAGGAATGACCAAATTTTAGGACATTTGTTTCTAAGATAGTGTTGCCCAAATACAACCACTAGACAAAACTGGCCTGATCGTACCTGTAACTGCAGGCTCAGGACTTGGGTCAGAAGATGGTGACTAGATCCAGAGAAATTACCTGCTGATTCTGTTTCTGTCAGCTCTTCCTCCCTTTTCTTCTTCCCGTCCATTTTCTTAGACTGCTAGATAAAGCCTAATACTCGTTATCGTGCACCTGTCTTAGGGTCGTTAACCAAATTAGGGTTATTAATCAAATAACAAGCCTAAATCCTGATCTTTCCTGAGACACAGCATAGTTTCCAGTTAAGCATTTGCATACCCTAGGATTCAGGTCCTCATTCTGCCACTTACCAAGCTTTGTAACCTTGTAAAAAAAGACTGCATTTTCTCTGCCTCTATTTACTTATGTTTGAAATAGGAGAGAAGATAGTCCCTGCATCATAAAGTTAATATATAGATTGAATAAGATAATTATGAAAGTTTTAAAATAAAGTATCTGGCACATAATGGTATCCTGAATACTAACTGCTTATTATGATCTTTCATCAATAAAAATCACCACCTTGTATTTTGCTCTGTATCCAACTTTCCTGCTCACAAGTCTTGACTCTTCAGAATGGACTCCATGTTCAATGGCCAAGTCACATTAGGGGAAATTCTGAAATTGTGGTATTTCAGAATTACAGAACTGCATAAGATGGGCCCTCGACTCTTTGTCCCCAACATTTCCCTATCTCATCACATGCACACATATCATTCTGGTGTAGAGAACCTTATCTGCCATAAGGTTTCAAGATGTGGGTGAACAAAATGATTGATTTTAATGAGAATTGTGCTTCCCTCTGCATTTCCCACAGACTCATTGACAATGCGTATCCTGATACACAGGCTCATCACAGTCCACAGCTCGCCTCTGCCCACATAGTGTAAAGAGCACACGAGAACAGCAGGCAGTTGACACGTAGAAGCAAAGGAAAGCACATAGCCCTCCCGTCACCCCCGATGACAGCAGACGTGTGCGCCATGTATTCTACCTCTGTCACCCCCACCTTGCATATTGCTCCTCTCTCCTCCTTATTAATTCATCTATGGATTTTCTTACTTTCCATTTATCTCCAACCACTCAACATTCATTTCAATTCTACTGGGAAATTCATGCTGGATGGCTTTCAGCTTTCTGCGAGGCAGAACAATCAGATTGAAGGAACGTTTGTGCCAGGTTCTGTGTCCGCCAATATTCCTTCTACCTAGGTAATCAGCAGATACAGCACTGTCGTTCTGATCACATCAATTTCAATTCAAGTTACTGTGAACCTCCAGGCTAATGAAACAAAGACTCTTCTTCCCTGGCCCAGGATGTGGGATGCAGGGCATCTTTACATAATGCAGTCACACCACTGCTCAAAGTGATCATAACAAGAGCTAGCAGTTTCCCTACAGACAGTCAACTGCAAGAGAGACACAAAGGGAAAACCTAAGGATAAACCAAAACAATGGTTTGCCACGTCCAGAGGTCACTCTGTTTCCTCTTCTCACTCCCTACCTGTTAGTGATGTTTGAATTCAGAAAACCATTCATGAAAACAGTTGCAGATAACAGGACAGGGAAAAGTTATTCCTGTCCAAATCTGTCATCTTTTCCATCACCAAGGGACTAATTAAAACAGTCTATTTTGGCAGAAAACAAAATTATCCAGAGAAACTTCTCCACATTGACTTGAAAAGAGGGGAGACGATAATCAGGAAGGAAAAATGCAACCTGAAAATCAGAAAATGTTTTCAAGAGAGCAAGGACAGAGCCTAGACCGGGGAGGCAAACTGAGTGATTAATCTGGGACAGCTGATTTGACTGCTACACAAAGCAAGATATTTCCATTGTAAGTGCTGGATCAAGGCAAGAGAACACATGGCATGTCAGCAAAACACACAAAGTTTAAATGTTTATAAGACATTTGCAAAAGAAGAAAGAAATGTGGCAGTTTACGCTTGTTTATAAGAAGACAATGAGTTGGTGTTAAAAGATGTCACACAGCCATGCTAATTGCAATAGGGGAAGAAGTACAGATACAAAATAGCAGAAATATGTTCGTTGGACATTTACGCATTTAAGACTGTAATGAGAGAACACTGTACTGGGGCTTAAGCTCATTGGAATATAATATTAATTATGCTATCTGTAATTTGTTGAGTATCGCTGTATTTCATGCACTGTTCACAGTACTTTAAGAGGATTAACTTCTTTAATCCTCAGATAAATCCTATCAAGTAGGTACCATGTGTATCTCCTTATTTTAAACAAGGAAACTGAGCCTCAGAAGGTGTTGGATTTGTCTCAAGAATACGTACGTGTGGTAGGGACAGGATTTAAACTCAGCCAGCCTGACTCCAAAATGTAGACTCTACATCACAGTTTTATCCAACATGAATTCGAAATGAAATCACCAGAATATGCAAATGTTTTCCAGAATACATGTTCAGTGTGAGGCTGAGATGTATGATGCTATATTTATCTGGAACTTGGGCAGGAAATGAAGGGGAAGAAACTTGTGAGTGCAGAACAAAGTCTGCAGTGTGTTTTTCTAAATATATGCACACAAACTGTGCCCTATGCTAGTCTACTGTAATTGCCGTGACAAACACTTGAGCTCTGAGTTGGGCATACAGTTGTTAGCATGTCTTTATACATACAGAGCCATTTAGATACGAAAAGAAAATTCCCAAGAACTTCTGAAGATGAAGGAATATAAACAGCATTAAAAGGAACTGCACTTTTCGTGATACAAACAACCTCTGCTCTCCAGACTTATACTCAATCAAACGACAGCGTCATTACCACTGAACATATCTGAACCAGCGCTGAGTTTTTCTGGATAGAATCCAGGTATATGATTGCACTTCCCAAATTCTGAATATGTTTTTTAATGGCTCATTACAACCCATTATAAACCCTTTACAGCACCGGCCTGACAAATGGTTAACATCCATCACCAAATAGCAGCTTTCTTTTTCCTGGGCTGTGCTTTAAATGGCCATGGAAGTGTTGGTGTCTGCCATGAAAGCTAACTGATCCAGTGTTTGATTTTATTTTGAACCTTGGTCATTCTGAGAAACACAGGGTCAGAGTTTCCTTAGGGAAACCTGGTAAACTCTGCTTTGTGTCTGCCTTTAGGAAAAGAAAGACCTAGTAATCTTACCTTGTGCACTAGGCCGCTGAGAAGATGGCAATTAGCCAGCGGAGGTTATGTAGTCAGAAAGGTCTTAAAGCCCAAGCGAGTGTCTTCTGAAGCAAAGCGAAGACATCCCCTTGGTTCTTTCCTTAGAGAGACCTGAGGGAGCGCTGCCCACTGCCTCGACACTCT